ATTCATCCTGTTTCTTGAATAAATGTCCCTCTTGTGTTTAAAAGCCTTTGGTTGATTTCCAAAATCTAAAAGAGTTGATTCAAAAATTTTTCTCTGGCGCATTCATGGCTTTTTAGAGGATGAGGCTTTTGGAGGTCTCTGCTCTACCATCAGAAATGCTTCTCTTCATAGTCATCCACTGAAGATTAGATGAGGGCTTTTCCTATTGGATTTCTCAGTTCTACCAGCTGCCGTGTCTGCCAAGCACCATTGCTTAAAGCATGATACTCAGGGAAGTCAAACGTCCTTTATGGACACTATGCTCTGACCACAAACTTCACTGATAACCCCACATGTTATCAGGTCACTGATTCCAACGATCAGTTCAGCACAAAGTCATCCTTCCTATTGAAAAAACAATGCAGTACAACATGCCCTACTGACCACATAAGCTATGGCAGCAGTTTCTGTTCAGGTTTAATCTTCATATCCTAATGCTTTGCCACCTTGGCTGTCAACAAGTGGTAAATCAGTATAGAAAAATTAAGTAAAATAAATGTCCATACAAAATTCTCTCTGAAAATGAATCAATAATGGAATGTTCAAGGTGGTCACTGGTTCTCATATGCAAGGGATTATAAAGAGGCAGGTTCCAGTGCACAAACAGGCAGGAAATGCTCCTTACATCATAATAAATGAAAACACAGAACTTCTGAGAAGTCAGGAAGCAGACACTAACCTACCAGGAGGGTGAGAGTTTCCCAGGAACTAGCCCTAGCGGACGGTGAGAGGCTTGTTGGGAAGGCAGCACCCTCGTGCAGAGGCTCTGTGTGGACCACGGTTTGGAAGCTCGGTGTGATGTAAACAAGCGAGCTTCCCTAGACTGCCAGCAGTGAACTACCCAACGCAGGGCGTGGCTGACAGTAGTTCTTCAACTACTTAAAACCGAAATAAAATTAAACACAATACCAAATAAGACAAAATAATGAAGTCCCTTAAAAGTTAGCATTAAAAAGAGGTAGGTGGATGAATATTCCCTTTTATGATTAGGAGCAACCTTGCTGTATAACTTTAAAGAAGCCCTTCTTAACCTCAAGTCCTTAGATCCTTAAAGGCAGAGTTCTGAGGATGCCAAAATTGAATGGCAGGCAGAATCGTTTGTAGATATATAGATTTTTTCCTTTTGTGAAGAGGTCCCATGGCATTCATCACATTCTCCAATGATTAACTGATTATATGTGCCAAAAGAGTAAAGACATCACAAACTGCAGAGCAGTTACTCCCAGCAGCGTAGTAAAAGGATGATACAGCACGGATCAAGTGAGACTTACTCGGGGAGTACTAAGATGGCATAACATACAAAATTCAATCAGTGTAACACACCACAGTAATAGTATGAAGGGGCACCAAACCGCATGATCATTTCAATCGATGCAGAAAAAATAAACACTGGAAACAATCCAACACCCTTATGATAAAAATACTTAACCAAGTAGGAGTAGAGGAGCACTGATAAGAAACCCTCAGCTAACACGGTGAAACACTGAACGCCTTCTCCCTAAGGTCAGGAACGAGCCAGGGATACGGTTATTCAAATAGGACAAAAAGGTATCTACTATAAAATAATTTCCACACAACTATTTCAAGTCCAGTTAGAGACTAGAGATATTTTCAAATTTTGAAAATCAATGTAGGCAGGAGAAAGTTGGTGAAACCCCGAAAGAGTAGAGTGAGAGTCTGTACAAGGTGGCAGGGACTGTGTCCTCTCCCCGGCAGTGACAGATGCTCCGCTTGGCCGTCGTCATTTATGGGTGACATGGCTCTAACAAGGTGCCCACCGCCACTGACTCAAACGGGACCAGCACTTCCACCTGCTTCACAGTGATGGTTCTCAACCAGGGCAGCTGGCGCGATCACGCTGCACTTTAAAAGTTTAATTCACTTCGATATTAATTAAAAATTAGATTGGAAATGGTAGCAGGACTACAAATAGTTCTTACTTTACTCCATTCCCTGTGTTTGCCAAGTTTTCCACTGAGCTTATCTTCATCAGGGATAAAACTGTTTTCTTTTATAAAACTGATGATTCTCATGGCAGTATGGAGGATGAAATGCAGCAGGAAGAGACTGGTAGCAGGAATGGCAGAAATGTGCCCCCAAATAAGGGGACAGGTGACAAGAATCTAAATAAAAGCAGGGGTGGGGGTGGGGTTAGAAATAGGTAAGTTGAAAAGGTGAACTGACCCGGGCCAACTGGATGAAAGTTAAAAAAAAATTTAAAATACATCTCCAATTTCTGAGTTGGGGAGCTGCCACCAGCAACGTTAGAGAAGAGAAGGGGTGGGCTGGTTATGGGAAAGAGGGTGTGAGCAAATTCCATTCGTGCTACGATGAGTTTCAGGAGTCTAGCCCCCACCCAGGAAAATATGTCTAATCAGCACTGGAAACACAATAATGGCACTCAGAAGCAGAAAGATTGGAGACTGAAGTGTAGGAGTGTTAGCTGGAGCCGTAGGGATGGATGCAATTGCTCAGGGTGCCAAGAACAAAATGAGAAGAAAATGGCCCAGAATAAAAGCCTGGGAAACACCAGCATTTAAGGTGAAAGAAGAGACAGTAAAGGACAAAATAGAAAGAAAGGTGGAGAAGTAACTAAAAGAGAAAGGTCTTATGTAAGCCAAAAGAATACACATTTTCCAGAAGGAAAATATGAAAACATCATCAAATCCTGCAAAGATTAAAGAATGAAGCCTGAAAAGTGTCTGGTGCATTTGGCAATAATGAGGTCCCCAGTGACCTCGGTAGGGGCAGAAAGTCAAATCTTGGAAGCTAGACTGATGTGAGTTGAGGAGTAAAATGAGGGGTGAATATTACAACCAATAAAATGAAATCAATAGCCTCATACAATATAGACACCATTTATTTTTAATTTTTAATAAGTGAAAATGGAAACTATATTCTTTTTTACTCCAAGGCAAACTGGTTCAGCAGTTTTGCTTTGTACAGTGAGTAAATACATTCTCTCTGTTCAACTCTGTTTCCATCACTCATTGCTTGTGGGACTTGAAACAAATGATTTCACACCACTGTGCTCCACAGTCTTCATCCGTAAAAAAGGGAATGGGAATTGTACAACCTCCGCAGACTCGTTGAGAGTTAGGTGAGGTAATGCATGCAAAACAACTAGCTAAGTATCTGCCCCTCAAGGTTCACCTGTTATGTTTCCTAATTCTTTCATTTGTATAAAAACCAAAAAGCAATGAAATCTGGATACCCCCAATTGAAGGTCTGATATTTAAAATAGCAATCTCATTCTGGACTGCTCATTAAGTTTATTTATTCACGTGACAGGGAACACTCACTGAGCATCCTTCATGGGCCAGAACTGTGTTGGATCTTGGGGACACAGGAAGGATTAAGGTTTGTTCCCAGCTCACAAAGGCAGAGGAAGCAATGGCTACATTTTTTAAAAAAATTACAATGTATCACGTAAAATAATGCAGTTATTATAAGGGTTACTTCTGAGGGTTGTGGACAAGAAGAGAATGCAAATGTCTAAGTATTCACCCAATGAAATGATCAAAACAACACCTGTAATACCCCTCCCTAGTACCTTTTAGGCCTTCATTTCAATAGCCTAAGTTAATTTTAAAAAACCAAAATGCTAAGCTGCCAGTTGATTAACTTCTTTTATTTTATTGTTGTTCTATTACAGTTGCCCCAATTTATCCCCCAAGCTCTCCCCTGCTCCACCCACCACCTCACCCCCACTCCCACAGTCAATCCCCACCCTGTTGTCCATGTCCATGGGTCCTTTATACACATTCCTTGATTTGACCCTTCCCCTTCTTCCCCCGTTATCCCCCTCCCCCCTCCCCTCTGGTCCCTGTCAGTCTGTTCCTTGTTTCCATGTCTCTGGTTCTATTTTGCTCATTTGTTTTGTTCATTAGGTTCCACTTATAGGTGAAATCATATGGTATTTGTCCCTCACTGCCTGGCTTATTTCACTTAACATAATGTTCTCTAGTTCCATCCATGCTGTCATGAAGGGTGGGAGTTCCTTCCTTCTTTCTGCTGCATAGTATTCTATTATGTAAATGTGCCACAGTTTTTTGATCCACTAATTTAATGATGGGCACTTAGGCTGCTTCCAGCACTTGGCTATTGTAAATAACACTGCTATGAACACAGAGGTGCATAGGTTTCTTTGAATTAGTGTTTCAGGATTCTTAGGGTATATTCCTAGCAGTGGGATCACTGGATCAAATGGCAGTTCCATCTTTAGTTTTCTGAGAAAATTCCATACTGTCTTCCACAGTGGCTGCACCAGTCTGCATTTATACCAAGAGTGCACTAGGGTTCCCTTTTCTCCACAACCTAGCCAGCACTTGTTATTTGTTGATTTTTTAATGATGGTCATTCTAACTGGTGTGAGGTGGTATCTCATTGTGGTTTTATTCTGCATGTCTCTGACGGCTAGTGATGCTGAGCATTTTTTCTTATGTCTCTGGGCCCTCTGTATGTCCTCCTGGGAGAAGTGTGTTCAGGTCCTTTGCCCATTTTTTAATTGGATTATTTATTTGTCTTGCTGGTATTGAGTCATGAGTTCTTTATATATTTTAGAGATCAAACCTTTGTCCAAGGTACTATTGGCAAATATGTTTTCCCATAAAATTGGTTCTCTTTTCATTTTGATGGTGTTTTCTTTAGCCATGCACAAGTTTTTTAATTTGATGTAGTCCCATTTGTTTATTTTTTCTTTATTCCCCTTGCCCATTGCCCTATATCAGGAAAAATATTGCTGCATGGAATATCTGAAACTAAGACTTTTATGGTGTCACAACTTATATTTAAGTCTTTTATCCATCTTGAGTTTATTCTGGTGCATGGTATAAGTTGGTGGTCTAGTTTCATTGTTTTAACATGTATCTGTCCAGATCTCCCAACACCATTTGTTGAAGAGGCTATTTTTACCCCATTTTATTCTTCTGCCCTCTTTGTCAAATATTAGTTGACCATAAAAAAATATGGAATGCTTCACAAATTTGTGCCTCATCCTTGTGCAGGGGCCATGCTAATAATCTGTTTCATCCAATGTTAGCATCTGTGCTACCAAACCAAGCACTAATTTCCTTTGATGCCTTATAAATCACTTGTTCTAATAAATACCTATATTTAATCTATTTTATTCTACTCTGTATTTCTTAATAACTTTATGACATTAACAACAAATCTCCAGAGTTGAATGTATTCTTTTCCATATCCCATATGAAATAAATCACAACGTAATCTCATTATGAAAAAAAGCCTTCTCAGCCTTACAAACAATAGCTCATTTATTTGATCAGAGTATAAAAGCTATAGTTATTTAATAAAAAGTATTCAATAAACCACTGAAATGGGAATATTAAAGCAAATCTATTAATAAGACTTCAGCAGAGGGAAATTAATGTTTCATCCTACCTAATGCCTTCCTAAGATTCTGCATCCTTGGTCATCCCTGTCCACCAGTAACCCTGCAATCTGATAACCTAACCTTTGTGAGCAGAGTGATAAAACACCACTCTGCTCACAAAGGCAGATCTATAAAGACCTAGATTGCAGGTATTAGACCATTTTTGTGACCTGGGACTAGTTCTTCAAATTCTCTAGAACTTCAGTGAAGGAAGACGGAAAATACTTTGTTCAGCCTAGTCACACTGTTAAAGAAAACATACAAGGGAAGCTTCTGGTTAAGATGGCAGAGTAGGTAAACGCAGTACTGGCCTCCTCCCACAACCACATCAAAACTACAGAACAAATCTACTCTGCAGAACAAGCATCATTCAGAACCACCTGACATCTAGCTGAACAGACAAGTCCTATAACTAAGAATATAAGGAAAAAGCCACGTCAAGACTGGTAGGAGGGGTGAAGATGTGGAACAAGCTGATCCCACACCTACCTGTGGCAGTTAAACAAACAGGAGGGATATCTCAGCTGTGGAGGTCCCACCTGAGGAGAAAGGAGTCCCAATCTCACAGCAGGTCCCCAGCCCAGGGTTCCAGTGCTGGGAAGGTAAGTCCCCCTGACTTCTGGCTGTGAAAACCAGCAGGGATTTTGGCTGAGTGAGACAAGGCCTTCTGGAATCCAAGGTATATCTCTTAAAGAACCCATGTAAACTTACTTGAACTCACTCACTCTGAGCTCCAATGCTGGGCAGCAGCTTGAAAGGTTCCAGGGACACGAGGAGGGACTGAACAATCTGGCTTTGGAGCAAGGGTTGGAGGGGCATCTTTCACCCAGGCAGAAATGCTGGCAGAGGCCACTAGTCCTTTTCTGAGCCCTCCCCTGACAGAGCAGGCAGATGGGCACTACATCTGAGTCTCCATCAACCTAGCTAACACTGTCCTTGCCCCCACACCCCCACCTCTATCATTCCCTGAGACCCCACCCATCCAACTTGCAGGGCCACCTAAGCTATTTCCAGTGACTTTTCCACACAAGAGGCCTCTCTTGGCTCATGCTGAAGACTTTCCTAAAATCTCTCAAAGTTTCAGACCTTGGCATGCCCTATACCTCTTGCTATGTGGCCCCAGGCCCAGCACTAGCAGTAACTGGCCTCAGTTCTGAGCTTGGCCTCTCTCGGGTACCTCAAGTCCAGCACATGTAGCAGCCATCTGCAGATTGCTCTGTAGCTCATGCCAAGTGGCCTTGGGCAGGGCACAGTAGCAGTTGATTTTGGCTTGAACTTCCCAGGAGGCCCAAGAACCAGCACTCCTTGTGGACAGCATCAGACCACAACTGAGCACGACCGAGCCACCTCCCTAAGCAGCACACTCAAGAAATGGACTCATCGGGCACCAGAGACCCCCTGAAGTGAGTCCTGCTCTGTGGGGTTGACCCCTACACATCAGCTCCTCCACTGTGGTGGTCACAGCCAGTCCTCAAAAGTGATCAACCTGGGAGTAAATACCTCCTGCTGACAAACCTGCAGCAATCAGGGCACAACTACAACAGGAGGGTGTGCACAGCCCACCCAAGGGTGCACCTGAAGGGCCCAGCTCAGGTGACTAGAAGGCTGTGCCACTGGACCCTCCAGGACACCTACTATGCTAGGCCACTCTACCAAGACTGGTAGACATAGCAGCTCTACCGAATACACAGAAACACACACAGGGAGGCTACAAAATGAGGAAACAAAGAAAGATGGCCCAAATGAAATGAAAGAACAAAACTCCAGAAAAAGAACTAAATAAAATGGAGACACACAATCTACCAGAAGCAGAGTTCATAACACTGGTTATAAAGATACCTGAAGAACTTAGAAGGGTACATGAATTTATCAAGAATGTCAACAAATAAATAGGCAACACACAAAAAAAAACAATCAGAAAGGAAGACTATTATCAATAATAATTGCAATGAAGAATACACTACAGGGAATCAACAGTAGAGTAGTTAAAGCAGAAAATCAAGTCAGCGATTTGGTAGACAAGGTAGCAGAAAACACCCAATCAGAAAACAAACAAAATTCTAATTAACAATGCTCACTCACTGTGACTGAAGGAACCATAATGAGACTGTAACATTGACTACTAACAGCAGAGGTTTTCTGAGTTTACACAGAAATCATGCGTGATTCTGGGTGATGACTCAGCTCTTTTCCGTTTTCTCTATTAAAAATTCTGTGAAACCTCTGGTTTTGGCCCTTACCTAGTACAAACATATCATTTACGAAGTAACCCTACCTTTTATCTTTTCTCATTGGGTCAGACAAAGCAGCATTACTTGGTGACAATAATATAAGCACAAATGCTATAAATTAATGATCCAAATGAGTCAGAATATGCTTAACTACTTTGGGTGGTTTGTCCCCTGCTAAAACAAAAACATGAAATGTAAAACTTCTTGTAAAAAATACACCCCTGAGAACATGCTTACATGTCCCCAGTGTTCAGGATCTTGTGGTTGCTTTTCAGCCTAAAGTTAATATGCAGAGGAAAGAGACCACTTGAGGTGTGTGTGGTGTATGATGTAAGTAAAAGAATACCACGCCAAATTAGAGGACGTGTCCCCTTGCTATGACCTTGAGAATACCACTGAGCAATGTCCTTATCTCACTGAAGAGTAACAGTAGTAGATAATTTTTAATCAAATTCAAAGCCCTCAATGCCTTAATTAAACTAAATAGGTCTTATAAGTACTGGATGTTAAGAAACATTTCTTAAAATACAATTTTGTTATTCCAATTGTATAAAAATGTCATTTTCTAAAGACTGACTTTTTTTGCTTTTTCATGACTTTCTTTCGGTGTATGGATTTATACACATATTATCTTTCATGGACTCTTACTGTTTTATAAAATATATTAAGCTAATCCTAACAGCAACCCCATGGCTTAGATGCTATTATTATCATTGCTCTGTGATAGATGGTAAAACTGAGGCACAGAAGGGCTATGTAACATGCCCACAGGCACACAGCTGATTAGTGGCAGAACCAGGACTCGATGCAGGTATCTTGCCTCTGAGTCCCTGAGCTTACTCACTGGGGTAACCACTTCCTAAGTTATGTAAATACCCAGTCCCTATGTTGTACACCCGAAACTAACATAATATTGTATGTCAACTGTAATTGAAAAATAACAAATAATTTAAAGAAAACACTTTTTCAGTTTAAAAAAATAAAATGTTAAACAATGTTTCAATTTTTAAAAAATATGTACATGAATTTACCACACTACGATAACCTTGTATTTCCTTGTGGGCTTTCAACATATGCCTATTAGCTTCTTCCTTAATGTGTTTACAGCATTTAATCATGTGTATGGTTTTCAAAGTATAAGATTGGAAATCCATAAACATGAAATAAGGGGTGGATTTTTCTAGGTACCAAAACCAAAATACAGTGGCAGTTTTGCAGAAGAAAAAAGTTTAGAGTTCCTGGATGCTACTGACCTACTGCTCAGTCAGATACAAGAGTCACAGTCCGCAGAGCCACCTTTTGATTACTGCGTAAGTTAACTTCTGTAGGCAGGAGGGCTGGCACCGGGGGCGCGGCCACTGCCACCACAAGGAGCATCCCTGTGATGTGACAAACTAACAGAGGTAGAAACCTCTCTGCAGGACAGCCTCGACAGACAACAGAAAAGTAGCAGTTCTGGAATCTGAAGCATGGATTGGTACATTATAAACTGTGACTGCAGTGCAATCTGTCGCAGATTAGTCCCTTTATGGACCATTCAGGACAAATTTTTCACACATCTGATTTCTCCTTCCATGTGGCACAGCAACCTCATGCCAGTAATTGAAGAATATTCAATGCATGAAATTAACTGTCATATTACAAAATTGTCTGTCGCCAGTAAGTGCATGTGCTACCAAGAAGCCTTACAGAGAGATATTTCCTTAGGAGTGAAGACTTTTCTAAAATGCATTTGGAGAAACCTTAGTACTTGGAGAAGTTACGTACTAGTAAAGAGGGCTCCTTGTCAAATCAGAGTAGAATGCTGTGGACCCTAAACCCCACCCTTTAGAGGGTCACAACACTCATTAGCAAATGTAAAAGGTTCCAGGAGCCTTCTGACTTCTATGGTGTCCCAAACCAATTTGACCAGAGAGCCTTTATCACATAACACCTGCAAACAGCTTGAACAATGTACTTTGAAAGACAGTGACTTGGTGAAATCCCCACCATTCTAAACTTTCCTCCTGGGTCAGCAAGAGCTTTGATCTTATCAGGCCCCTAGAATTGGTCAGAATCATCAAGGCAGACTATAAGAAATGTAACCTAGTGTACTGTTGGTGGGAATGCACATTGGTGCTGCCACTGTGGCAAACACTATGCAATTATGGCAAAAAAAATTAAAGTGGAACTGCCTATGACCCAGCAATTCCAATCCTGGGAATATATCCAAAGAAACCCAAAACATTAATCAGAAGGAATATATGCACCCCTGTGCTCATTGCAGCAGTATTTACAATAGTGAAGGTTTGGAAACAGCCCAAATGTCTATCAGTAGATGAGTAGATAAAAAAAAAAACAAACCTATGGTACATTTACACAGTGGAATACTACTTGGCCATAAAAAAGAAGGAATTCCTACCCTTTGCAACAGCATGGATGGATCTGGAGAACATTATG